AGCCTAGAAATATTGAAAAAAATTAAGGAAAAGTTAGATATGTCATGAATGTATAAAATATAATAGATGTAGATACTAGTGTATCCTTACATAGGCACAAGGTGAGTGATATTTAATATAAAATTAATATGTTAGTTTTCTTCCTGTTCTATAACTTTGCTTTCAAAGAATTATATTACCGTACAGGGTGCTTCTCTCTCTCTCTCTCGTATTGGAGAAATTGTGTATCAGACTATCATCACAGGCAAATGGGTTTTTATCAGAGGAACGATTCCAATACTGTATTATGAATATGATTGGAATACTGTATGCTATAAAAATTTTATGATTCATTCTTTACTGTATAGGCTAGGCTACCATGAAGCAATTATATCGGTTACACCACACTCCCATAAAGCAATCGTACTGCTGCTTCTTTGTTAACAATGCATGCATCGTTATACCTCTAAACAAATATGAATTTCTTTTTCACATTATCTTTCCAGTTTTGATGTCCAGAGTTATACACCAAAATGTATGGCGCCTGCAGTGTTTTGTACTGTGTGAGACAATATTGATATGGGTACTGACAGACGGATGATTTATCTTGTAAAAGACAATGTAAACTTACAGTATTGATAAACACAGTGCTATAAATGTATTTTCTCTCTCTTATGACCTTTTTTTTAACATCTTTATTGGAGTATAATTGCTTTACAATGGTGTGTTAGTTTCTGCTTTATAACAAAGTGAATCAGCTATACATATACATATATCCCCATATCCCCTCCCTCTTGCGTCTCCCTCTCACCCTCTCTATCCCACCCCTCTAGGTGGTCACAAAGCACTGAGCTGATCTCCCTGTGCTATGTGGCTGCTTCCCACTACCTATCTGTTTTACATTTGGTAGTGTATATAAGTTTCTTATGACTTTCTTAATAACATTTTCTTTTCTCTAGCTTGCTTTATCGTAAGAATACAGTATGTAATACATATAACATACAAACTATGTGTTGATTGACTTTATGTTATTGGTAAGCTTCCAGTCAACAGTAAGCTGTTAGTAGTTAAGTTTGGGGGGAGTCAAAAGCTATACACAGATTTTTGACTGTGCAGGGGGTTGGCGCCCCTAACCCCTGTGTTGTTCAAGGATCAACTGTATACTTAAAGCAAGAAGAAAGGAGAAAATAGTAAAGAATAGAAATCAATGAAATCGAAACAGAAAAACAATAGAGAAAAAGAAATGAAACATAAAGCTGGTTCTTTGAAAATATCAATAAAATTGACAAACCTTCAGCTAAATGAATCAAGAACAAACGAGAGAAGACATCAACTACCAATATAAGAAATGAAAAAAGGGATATCACTAAAGACCCCACAGATATTAAAAGAATAGTAAGGGAATACTATGAACAACTTCATTTTTATGAATTTAACAACTTAGATGAAACGGACCAATAGTTTAAAAGACAAAAATTACTAAAACTCGGTCAAGAAGCAATAGAAACCCTGAATGATCCTATAACTATTAAAGTAATTAGATTTGTGGTTAAAATTCTTCTGACAAAGGAAACTCTAGGACCTGATGATTTCATTGGTGAATCTTATCAAATATTTAAAGAAGAAATAGTGATTCTGTATGATCGAGAAAATAGAAGAGTGGCATTCATGACTTTTATTCTTTCTTAGAGGTCTTCCAAAAAAGAACAAAAAATGTATTTATTTTCTTTATGAAATAAAACTCCTATCTTGCAATTACCATGTGGGTCCATTGAAACCTCTTAGAATATGATAGATCATGGGATCTTAGTGATCTTGATTTAATCATACTAGATCTATTTCATTATTCTAAGAAATATTCAATCATTGCTCATTAATTATTTCCAGCTATGCTAAAAAAAGGAGACTAAATAATAAGAAGAAAACAAAAAATGATGGCATCTCCTAGCAGGATGATACAATATTGAAATGAATCACCACTATTACATCATCCTTCAGTTTTCTGATTGCACTGCTCTAAGTGTAACAGCATCTTTCAAGAAGGTAAAAAGAAGACAGTGACACCATCCTTGTCGTCTTATGTTAGCATTCACTGAATATAGTTGAAAATTGAGAATTATTTCATGCGCAAGTGGCAAAGGGAAGAAAACTGAGATCAGGAAATGTTTCGCAATTATTAGATGAACCAGAAGATGATGGTGAACTTGATCATATAAGCCAAATCTCTTGATGACTGAGCAAGTGATACATGTCTAAGAACAACAAGGAAATTTGTTATTTTCATTTAGTTAGTCATTCATCAGGAACGACTGGATCGTACAATATTTTGTGACAAGAAGCTGACCATCTAATTCTGCTAAAAGGACACTTGACAGTATTCTTTCATCTCTGATGATGTACATGTACCAAAATGTACTTGATGTGGGTTGTCAGTAGATAAATGGACAAGGCCCGTGTGTTTTAAACAAGGGAGTGGATTGGGAGGGAATAGATGGTGTAAATGAAACAGGTCATTGGACCAGTCACTCTAATTGGTATTTACACATTTAAAAATGATATGCAGTTATGAAGCAAACGAAATGGTCTTCCGCTCTTTGACAAAATTATGAACCTTCAAAGTTTTCAGAAGTAGTGCATTTTGATGATGCAGCTGGAAAGTGAAGGCCGGAAGGTAGAGGGGCCCCACTGAGAGGGCAGGATGGCTTCCAATAAGGCATCTAGGTTTGGCTGGTGGAGAGTGAGGCTGGGGAGGGTGAAAGAGGCTGAGCTCTCCAGGCAGAGGAAGTGGCCCCTCCCCAGAGGCATCCTGGGTTCCAATCTCTGTTCACCGCCCATCACCTGGGTCCTTTTGGACAAGTCAGTAACTTTTCTCTAGGCCCCAATTCCTTCAACTGAAAAGGCAGGAGGTGATGCCTCCTTAAAGGGCTGTGGGGTATGAAAAGATATACCTTCATGAAACACAGGTATGGGGTCCGGCCATGGGAAGGCTTGGCTTTCTAAAGCAGTTCCTTGGTTGGGGTCTCAAAGCTCGCTCTCCACCAGACCCTTGGAGCCCAAGCTGGGTCTCCCTGGAACCCACCGCTTCCTCTATATCCATCCTCTACTCTGGGGCTGCTGAAGGATGTTTCTATGGCACAATGTGACCCACACACTCCACGGCATAAAATCCTCTCCTGCCTACTGACCAAGCCTGGCACTCGAGCCCCGTCACATCCGGCCCTCCTGCATCTCGAGGCCTCCTCTCCCACTGTGCATGCCACTTCTGAATACGCATCCTCTCCCCATTCCCTCAATGTGCTCCACACTCCCACCTCTGTGGTTTTGCAAATGCTGTTCCCCGGCCTTGAACCACGGTCTGGTAACCTGGCACCGGACGAACTCCTACTCACACCTCAAGACCCAACTGAAATGTCCTGCTTTTTCTGTGCACCTCAAGCAGGCTTAGCCTCTTGCCTCCCTGTGGCACTTCAGACATCCTTCTATTTCTTTATTTTTGTACGTGTCGCAGTTCAGCCCCGAGCCCCTCAAAGGGAGTGTTCATCTCATCCATCTTTGTACCTCCGAGTCCTGGGGCGACACTGAGCACACAGCAGACCCTCAGTAGATGTGTGATGAATGAACAAATAATACAACTAAGAAGGTGGAATCATTTGGATGGGAAGATTGCGCTTTGTGGTTGAAATTTTCCATATCCATTCTGCATACATTCTCCAGAAAGTTCTTTCTGAAGGATATTTTTGTGCTTTGTTTTAACATTAAGCAATCAAGTCTCATATTAAAGCTCCTCATAAATGGAGCAATTGGAAGCAGGTGTTCAACTCACGTGTGACATGATCGTTTCACTTAGAAAGAGACTACAGTCGTTTTCTTTCTCACTGGCTTTTTAAGTATAGACAAAATAAAACCAGCAAATTCAGAGGGAAAAATTAAAGTGCAAGATCAGAGGGCCTCTGCAGCCTAGCCAAGTGCCACAAAGTCTGGCTCAGTGACAGGGGCTTCTGGGGGTTCCCCCTTCCAGGGGTTGCCCTTGCCAGGTGGAAGGGGCACTTGCCTATAGCCCCTGGGGGCTGGGAGTACCTCAAGGGCAGAAGGACCCAGTGAATGCCACTACTGCGTTGTATCACTGTAGCAGCAAATGCAGTGGATGGTAACGTTTCAAAAAAATATTAATAGTGTACTTATAATAATTGGTAAAGGAGTGGCTGAATGGCTACTTCATTCATGCCTGTCAACAGATCTCAATGGAGAGCAGACTGTGACGCGTCCCGGTAAGATGGGAACCCACTACCGCTTCAAGGAGCAGATGCTCTTACTGAGAGAAGCCAAGGAGACGAACAGAGTCACAGCTCAGCTGGACGCAGAGATTTTCCTGCCGTGAGTGCGGCCAGCATTGGGTGGCCGGGGGTCTGGGGGGGAGCACTGCCTAGGAAAGGGCTGGAAGGGGTCCTCGCACCTCCGAAAGCAGCTGGCACGGCTGAGCCCAAATTTATAAAAAGAAAAATATACCAGTATATATGTGCATTTATGCACATAGAAAAAAGACTGAAATGACACTCAGTATCCATCAGTTACCATAAGGTGTTCTGTACTTCCCCAGTTCACACCTACTGCCCAGGTTAACGTCTCAGGCCTGGAGGAAGTCCACGTGTTCTCCTGACAAGCGCCGCTCCTCCCTCTGCATACGGTGTCCCCAAATGTCTTGGAAGGCTGAGCAACACGTGTATATATCAGACCCAAGGCTCATAAAAAGAAAAACAGATATGTATATATTTATGTGCAAAGCAACAAGACCAGGATGATACACTTTGAAATACAAAAATGACGCTCACAGGTGCTTAGATCAGGTGTGTCTTCTAACCTGTACCTGCATTTTCTAGTCTTTCTACACTGAATGTGTAATTCTGAATGTGATTTTTCTTGAACTAAGGAAAAGACAAAATAAACACCTCCTGGGGGGCAACTCCATCCTCTGCACCCGTGTGTGGACACGGCGTTAATGCTGACCCATGGTGCTCTCCTACCTAATGAGTCTCTGAGGCGTGGTGTCTTCTATTCTGAACGGTCTCTTCTCACACAAATTTCGAAATTTGTGGAAATTTAACGTGACGCTGAGCCTCAAGCCAAGAAGGCCCAGGAATCGCTCGAAATCCTCATCCTTCAGGTTGAAGAGCAGGTGCTGCAGCCGATGAAGGTCGTGCATGGTGACGATGCCATCCCTGTCCGTGTCCATCTTAAAGAAGGCCGCGTAGGGGTCCTAGAGTCAAAAACGCAGCGTCAAAGCCTGTCCCCCAGAACCTGACGTCATCCCCCGACCCCTGCCCCCCGCGCTGTGGACTCATCTCCAAAGTGAGGAAGGAACCGTGTTTCGACTTGGCATTTTGGAGATTTCACTGCTCCAGGAATATCCTTGCCATGATTTGCTTTCCCCAGGAAATGATGAACTATGTCCTCAGGTACCCTCTTTTAATGCAAAGAGTTCAGGAAAAGGGACAAGAAAGGTGTTTCTTTCCCATCTGCTCCCTCGGCTTCTGGGACCGGTACTTCTAGTACCAGAAGTAAGAATGAGTACGCTGGAGCTTTCCAGGACATATAAAATCTTGCCCTCAAGTTTTTATACAACTTTCATAATGTCTGGCAACTTCTGTCCACGGGAAAGCCAGCGCTGTGCTGATCTCACCCTGAGTTGCCGCCCAGAGGCTGGGCCCTGTTTTGATGCCTGTGCTGAAGGCCCCGCCTGAAATCTGCCTCTGTGTCTGCAGGTCATGCTGCACGAGGGCGGTGATTCCCATTTTACAGATGGGGAAACAGAGGCCTGCAGGGAACCTGTGGTCGAGGCCAGGCTGCACAGCTCAGGGCACACACTGGAGGTGGGTTGCTTAGTTTCAAAGCTCAGCTCTGCTGGCTATTAGCAGAGTGACCAAGGGCAAGAGACTTAACCCTGCCAGGCTTCTCATGTGTAATGGGAGGAGTATAAAGTCCCTGCCTCCGGGGTGGTTGTGAGGATTGAATGTGCTAACGAGGTGAAGCACTTAGGAGGTGACTGACAGGTTTCCTAAGGGCCCTAAAATGTTGTTACGATTACTGTTGCCTGAGGTCGGACAGCAAGTGCCTGGCAGCGGGATCTGAATCAGGTCTGTCTGGGCCAACACGATCCTGTGTCTCAGGCTTGGAGAGCTACAGCTGCTGTGGTCCCAGTACCCCTGTTGCCATCAGCCCCTGAGGCAGTCCCACCCACGGATCTCTCTGGATACTTCGGAGGCCCCGCCTGTACCTTCACGTCCCAGGACCCTCCACAGAGGTCATGTAAGGCAAGCCCTGCCGTGACTCGAGTGTCCACTTCAAACCTTTTGGGATTTTGTGGCAAGATCTATCTGTACTCGCTCACTTATTCTTTCACCAAAAATTACTCAGCACTGACGCATGCAATCACTGCACTAAATACGGTGGGAACCGACTTCAAGTGCTGCCCCTACCTCTCAGAGATGCCACTGTCCAGCGGCCTCTTCTCCAGGAGCACAGCCTGCTGGGGCTGCAGGCCCATCTCTTTGCTGCTGATTCCCTCCACGTCACAGCTCCAAGCCCTCGCACACCTCCAAACCCCCGTCTCCAAAGGCTGTGAGATAACTCCCCTTGGACGTCAAAACAAGCAAGGCCGAAATCAAACTCCTGGCCCACGCTAGACCCAGCTCGTCCTCCGGGTCCTTCCCGCTCGTCCTCCGGGTCCTTCCCAGCTCGTCCTCCGGGTCCTTCCCAGCTCGTCCTCCGGGTCCTTCCAGCTCGTCCTCCGGGTCCTTCCCGCTCGTCCTCCGGGTCCTTCCCAGCCTCGTCCTCCGGGTCCCTCACAGCTCGTCCTCCGGGTCCTTCCAGCTCAAGAAGTGGCAGCGTCTTCTTTCTGTTGCTCAGACCACAAACCTAGGGAGCGTCCCTGGGTCCTCCCTTTGCCTCACACCCCGCATCCAATCTGCCCACACAGCCATGGGTTCAGAGCTTCACTTCTCCCACTTCCACTGCCTCCACCCGGACCCAAGGCTCCTGGGCTTCCGGGCTCCCACCCTCGCCCAGCCCCCTATTCTACAGTAGCCAGTGATACCTGCACAGCTCAATCCAGCGCACGTCGCTCCTCTGCTCCACCCACGGCACTCGGGGTCCAATCCTCAATCCTGACTGTGGCCCCAGCCCCCTACCCCTCTGCCCTCATCTCCTCCCCGCTCACCCTTGCTGGGTTTTTTTTTGCGGGGGGGGGGTGCACGACTCTGTCAGGTACATGACTTTGATCTTCTTGGGGTCGAACTTGGGCAGCATGGTGGAGGCGGCTGGTGTTAGATGAACCCGGATTCGGGACGACTGAAGAAAGTTGCACCTTGGCCTCCTCCGAGCCGAGAGCCGAAAGCTACTTGTTGCTGTTGGAACATGCCAAGCCTGCCTCCAGCACTCCAGGGATTCTCCACCAGACCTGCTGGGCCTTTGGCCTCTGCCCGAATGCCACCTCTCCAGGGAGGCATTTCCTGTCCCCTCTGTACAAGGGCACCACCCTGATGGGTCTCTGGCCTCTCACCCTGCTTTATTTTTCTTCCTAGCCCGTTTCACCACCTGACACTCTGGAGACTCACGTGCTCACTGTCTGCTCCACCTCTAAAGGTAAACGTGGGCTCTGATCCATTCCTCGTGACAGCTCCAGTCCAGAGAGCAGTGCTTAAGAAACATCCGTGGAGTGAGGCTGGGTATGAACGATGCAGCACATATTTCCTGGGTACCTATGATGCACCAAGCACCCTGCTAGGTACAGGGACGTACTGATAACTGGCCCCTGACATCAAGATTCTCAGTCTAGTAGGGAAGAAAGATGTGTAAGCAAATTACAGCAAGTCAGCGTGATAAATGCAGCAAAAGGTGGGGGGGAGAAGTGCTCTGACGCAGCCCTAATTGCTGGACTACAGGGACAATCTAGATGCCATGGAAACCCATATTTATAATCTTCACAAATTTAAAACATTTACTCATTCCCTGAATCTCAGTCTTTGACTTCCCAGCATGAAGACTCCTAATTTTATTGCAGCCAATACATGTTGGAGTGAAAAGGATATTATTTCAATTCCTGGCTACGACATTTACTAGGTATGTGGCTTCGGGGAAGTCTCTCCCCATCTCTGACCCTCCGTTTCTTCATCTATAAAATGGGAACGCTAGCGCCTACTTGATAGGCTAGTTGTGGGGACTGAAACAACTGAGGCCGTGTAGGTTCACTGCCTGGCATGTAAAGTGAATTCTCTTATGCATTCAACAAACACCTATTTGCATGGCACGCACCGTGGTAGCCAGTTGTGTTATCGTGCCTTGATGTCTCATGGAATTACAAGTCCCCCACATTGCATGCCGGAAGGTGAGTGGACAGCAGCAGACCTCCCAGCAGGTCTGAAGGGCCGGAGGGAGGACCAAGAACTTAAGAAGGACCAGCGCTTTGGTAGGAGTTAGCTGGTCACAGAGACAGGAGTGACAATCCAGACAAAGGAGCAGGATGTGCAAGGCCAGGAAGGGGAGGCTGGGTGCTGGCCGGAGTGTGACGGGAGGAGAAGGCGGGGTCGAGAGGGGCCAGAGAGGGGCTGCAGACCAGCCAGGCAGGACCCGGGCTCATCCTAAGAGAAAGGGGCACTCTGACCAGAGCTGCGTGTTGGGATCACCCTGCAAGGTCAGGTGTCCAGGACAGATTGTGAAGTGAAAAATGCAGCGGCAGAAGCATATGTATGGGAGACCCTATTTGTGTGGGGATTTTGATCCTGCTTGCTTTTTTAAAATATACATGATTTCACAGACATCCGCCTGAACCTGCACGGACGCTGTCTAGAGGGTGAGGTTGACAGTGAACCCACAAGGGCCACAGGAACCTGTCCCCAGGTCACGTCCCCAGGTCACCCAGGGGGTCTCTGTGCCTGCTTTCCTCGCCATAGTCAGGGAGAGGGGGACGCCCCTTGTTTGGTCACAATGAATTATTTCCTTCGACTGGTCGTGGTCTTTGGCCTGGGCTATGAGGTTGAGGCTGCCTTACTCAACTGTGCTGTTGTCCGTAAACCTAACGGTGCTGAGATGGACTCATCTGGCTACAAAGTCGCTGGGCAGACAACAGCAGCAGCAGGATTAATAGCATTTTCAACTAATACAAAATCGTTTCTTCATTATTGATGGAGAGAGAGATTCAAGAATTTCTCATGAATAGGAGCTCAATAAAAGAAATAAAGTGACGGTACCTTCCCACTCAACAATCAAGACACAGTCTTTGGGACTTCCCTGGTGTCGCAGTGGTTAAGAATCTGCCTGCCAGTGCAGGGGACACAGGTTTGATCTCTGCTCCGGGAAGATCCCACGTGCCGCAGAGCAATTAAGCCCATGCACCTCAACTACTGAGCCTGCGCTCTAGAGCCCGTGCACCACAACTACTGAAGCCCGCGCGCCTAGAGCCCGTGCTTTGCAACAAGAGAAGCCACCGCAATGAGAAGCCCGTGCGCCGCAATGAAGAGTAGCCCCCGCTCTCTGCAACTAGAGAAAGCCTGCACGCAGCAATGAAGACCCAACACAGCCAAAAATAATAGATAAATAAAACGAATAAATTTATTAAAAAAAAAAAGACACACTCTTTGTCCCGTTTACATATACGCGTGAGGGCAACGAGCAGCCCCCCAGGGAACCTGGATATAACCAGTACCCGAGTCTGTATCACACAAACCCTGGCAATTAGGGGTTCACGTCTTTGTCTTATCTACTAGATTATAAGTTCTTTGCAGGATGGGTGGGTGTTGGTGAACGTTTTTAGTTAACTATTTAAAATAAAGACCATCTTAGGAAATACGGGACATCTGTGCACCGTAACCAAGCTACACTGATAATAAACGTAGGAAGGCGGTGGCGCCAGCAGGGAGCTTGGCCTCCCCATGTCCCCAGGGGAAAGGAGAGTTGGGAGGAGACAGGCGGGGAGGGGCCAGAGCAAGGGGCCTGGGCTGCCATGGGTGAGGCCGCAGGACAAAGGCAGCAGCGGGCGATGGCCACCCGGCCCTGCTAACCAGCACGGAGGGGCTGCTGCCCCCGTGCCTCTGCTTCCCCTTCCTCCCTCTCTCCCTCCCGCCAGGCTCTCCGCCCCGTAAACGACCCCCGCCTGCTCCGTGCTCTTCTCCGCTGGGCATCACATTGGACAAAATAATGAGGACTAACCCTCCCTCTATCTGCTTACGGTGACCATATGTTTTCAAACCAAGAATTAGGACGTACAGTCTGATGGTTGGACCGAATAGTCAAAGTCAGAACCATGCCGCAAATCCGAGCTAGACAGTCATCATGAGTTTATATTTTAAAATGGGAGCTCAGTAATAACCAAAATGAATCTCCAATTGGCAATCCACGCGGGGAAGATGTTTCAAGCACAGCAAACTCTGGATGCCCTGCCCCTGGGGGCTGGCTCCACCCACAGGGTGCTCCCCACCTCTCCTCCCCTGGGCTCACTGGATTTTCAGCTACTGAGGTGTTTGCCCCTGCATACCCTGGGGTCTCCACACCCTGGGGTCTCCACACCCTGGCGAGGACACATTCTAACTCCCTCGTGCCCTCTGCCCCGTTTCGTAGCTAATGTGGTCGATTTATCAATTTTCCTTCCCACTTTAATGACCCTCTTTTACTTCTCAACACAAAAACATTTGAGGTCATTCCTGCCTCTGTGTTTGAATGGCTGCTATTTCTCCTGTCTTATCCATTACAGCTTCTGCATGCAAACCATGCCTCGGTCACGCAGACCTGGGAGCTTTTCCTTAAAGCCCATGACCTGTCTGCCACCCACCTTAAGCAAGCCCACTCTTCTATTTTTCACTCCCTTCTTTTTCTGGCCAGCACATGCTGAGGGTTTAAGATTTGGTTCAGGGGTCACCTCCTCCAGGAAGCCCTCCTTAATGGGTTTTTTCCCCTGTGCTCCCATAGCACAGTACCGGTCCCTCTACGGCAGCCAATCATGATGTGTCGAATTGTCTGTTGACCATCTGTGTCTTGGGCTGGACTGAGCTCTCTGAGCAGGGCTCCCATATTTCAGCCCTAGCTTTCAGCCGAGAGTCCAGCTTATGACATGTAAGTGCCCAATGCTTGTTTGGTGAGTGCAGGAGTAGAGTGGATGGAATGCCTGAAAGCATCCTGAATTCACTGTAACTTGGGTTGTTACGCCCCTTCCCACCCCTCCCTGTCTTGTGAGGAGGGTCTCCTTACTTCTCTAAGGCCTTGGAGGGGCAGAAGGCAGACCCAGCAAAGTGTCAGCAGGGAAGGGCCTCGGGGAGGAGAGGGGATCACAGAGTTAAGCCCTGTCCCGGGAAGGGGAGAAAAGGCAAGCCCAGTCTGCGGACGGAGCGCTCTGTGTCCCGACGAGTGGAATGTGCTGGGGCCGCAGGGCTCACACCCGCTGCAGCTGAATGGCTGCGACCGAGGAGAGGGTAGGAGGGGTGTCTGGAGAAGCCAAGTGGCAGAGAGGTCATGATTTACCCGGAAGGATTCCTTCAGTCTCCGGGGGGAACTGTCTCAGGCACTCTTCAGCAGTTATAAAGTAGCCGTCCAAGTTCCCTTTGGAAAGAACTGGAGTCTGAGATGAACTCACTTCTGGCCCGTTCATCTTAGGATCTGAAACAATGACATATATCAGGGGACTTCCCTTAGTGGCGAGCACGGCTCTTTATTTCTATGTCAACACTTGACTTCTTCGGTCCCCAGGCCTGTTAGAACATGATACAGTACTACGGCCCCGCGGACTGAGCCTAGCATGAACTCTCTTATGATCTTAGACATGGCCCCGTCACCACGAGAAGAACCTGCTCTCCAGACCACCAGGACCATGCTCCTGCCCAGCACGTTTCCTGCCTGGCTCCTCTGTCCGTCCTCCAGGGCAGGGACCACATCTTGCCCGTCTCTCCATTCCCAGAGGCAGAGAATGAGGATTCCTGCCTCTTCTGTTTCCTAGAATCAGGTCCTAAACACAGGAAAGTGTAATTCAGTCATGAGGCAGGTCCTGAGCTCCTCCGTGCTAGAGGTCTCCGGACAAGTCCTGGTCTTTTCAACAACCCTAAGAGGTACAGTCTCTTCTTGAGCCCAGTTTACACACAAGGAAACCTATTCTTGTGCCCATTCTCCAGATAAGAAGATGGAGGCTCACCTCCCCACGGTCACAGGGCTCACAGACTTCACAGCTAACCCAGGCCCATCAGGTTCCAGAACCCAGCTGGTTGATTACTGCATTAGGCCCTCTCTCTCTCTTAAAACGGAGGAAGGAGGTGCAACCTCCACCTCAAAACCAACCCATTTCCATCAGGTTGTGACACTTTGAGTGTGGCCTTGTCTAAAGCCAGGCTACAACCTGGGGCTTGGTTTTGGACGTGAATCTCTGCACATGTCGCACCCACAGCCCCCCTGCCCCCCACGTGGTCTGCAGGATGGGCAGCGGGCAGGGCGTCTGGAGCTTGTGGGCATCCTTGAGTCCAGCCCTGAACCTGGCCCTCTGCCTTACCCCCACCTGGGCCTGGAGTGGCCTCCCCGGGCTTCGCTATGCCTAGCGGATAACATGTCCCCCCCCCCCCGCTGCTTGATCCCCTCTGCCGTGTCCACCCCCAACCCCCCAACGGCCTGGAGCCGCCATCTTCCCCCACCCTCAGCACCTGGTTATATGCTGGGGGGACTGATGGAGGGCAGAGGGGGGAGGAGGGTAGGGGGGAAGCTGCTGAGTGTGGTGCTCGCTCTGTGACAGGCTCACCACCCTGGGACCTCAAGCGAGTGACCACTCACCCTGGGCTCCGATTTCCTCACCGCAGCGATGGATGCACCCGGGCACCGGAAGCACTCGCTAAAATAAACGGGGGTTCCTCCAAGAAAGTCAAAACACGTAGCCAAAGAAAGTGTCAAAATCCTAAAATTCCATGGCTTCCGTGTTGTCTTTTTGGGGGGTGTGGGACCTCTCTCCCTTAGGATCATCAAATGAAATCGGTGGGGGGGGCGGTGGTGTTGGATGGGTGAGGAGTCCCAGCGGCCAGCTTCTCTAGCGAGGCCCGCCACACCATCCAGTCATCTCCCAGGCCAACCCCGGGGAAGACGGCAAAATGCAAATAGGGCTCCGGATTCCGCCCCATCCAGCCTGCAGTGCATTGATATATCCATGGAGTCATGCATATATATGCGTGATTTCTGCAGCTTTTCCAGAGGGCTTATTTGTCTACCTAAACTTCAGTAAGAGTGGAGACAAGGGAGGGGAGAGACGACAGAGCCAGGAAGCGGGAGGCTGGGTGCTGGTCATCCGCCTGCCTGGCGTGCGGCCGGGAGAGCAGATTAAAGAGCAGGTGGCGAACGGGAGGCCCCGCCTCCAGCCCGGACTCCACGGTGCCCAACAAATCTCCTGACAACCATGTGGGTCCGGGATGGGGGTGGGGCAGGAGGGGAGGGACAGTGGCCGGGTGATCCTGGGCGAGTCACTGGATCTTTTAGCACCTCTGCTCCCTTATCTGCAAAAAGGGAGGAAGAACATTTGCCTTGCTGGTGCGTGGGTGTCCCTAATCACAGATAACCAGCATCTATGCTTAGGAGGAGAACCTTAAAGGACACGAGGTGTGATTGGAGAAGCATAGGCTTGGGAGTAAATTGCAGAAACCATTTGGGCTTCTACTATTTGCAGAAGGCTCTGTCCGACAAAATTCTGCACTCACGGTGCGGCTGAGTGAAAAAAAAAAAAGGCCAAAACACAAAGAAAAAGTTTTTTTTTAATGTCTGTTTCAGTCTTAGGACTCACACACCGTTTCAACATCTTAGCTCACATTACTTCAACCCCAGCAGCCTAGTGGCACTACTCGGAAAGACCGGCAGGGCCACGGGTGGGAGACAGGTTTGCACTTGGCCATTAGCTACCTTCAAATCCTGTTGCAAAATCAAGATAACTCATCCCTTCTTTCTTATATCCTAATTTTGCAGTCAGCAGAGCATACTGATCGTCATCCATCGGCATTCTGTTATCTTCCAGGACCTGACAAGGAAGACAAGCAAGGGGAGAGGCCGTTAGGTGGTCCCGGGGTCCCTGCCAGCCGAGCCCCTCCAGGCCTGCGGCAGGCTCACCACCATGGCCCCTGTGCTCCAGCCTGTGACTGTTACTTGTCTGCCTCCACCCAAGGCCTCCCTGCGGGCGAGGCCCAGTGTCCTGGGGTTGGGGCCCAGTGCCAGGCTTGTCTGTTGAGTGAATGAGTGAACAAAGAGACGGGCGGGTGGCCGGCCTGGCTTTGGTCGGTCGGCATGGCAGGCACTCGGGGCCGCAAGCATCGCTGCAGAACTTTTCCCTGGCCATGCCGTCCAGGTCTTCAGATTCACGCTTGCTGTGACAGCAGTGGCTTTCAGGGCTCATAAGTGAGATTTATATTCACATATATCCTAGGAAACATGAACAAGATAAAGCAAGGCGGCTTGAGGAGGGAAAACTAGAATTTTGATCGAAGTCTCATGATGGTCCACAGTTTAAACTGTAAGTTACTATGTTTTTTTGCAGGGGGATCCATGGACACCCCTTTTTTCCTCTCCTGGTGTGATCCACTCACTGAAAGTTATCTGTGATCTCTCCATTCCAGTGCACATAACCTACTTATTTTTTTTATTTTTTATTTTTTTGCGGTACGCAGCCTCTCACTGTTGTGGCCTCTCCCGTTGCGGAGCACAGGCTCCGGACGCGCAGGCCCAGCGGCCATGGCTCACGGGCCCAGCTGCTCCGCAGCATGTGGGATCTTCACGGACCGGGGCACGAACCCGCGCTCCCTGCATCGGCAGGCGGACTCCCGACCACTGCGCCACCAGGGAAGCCCCACATAACCTACTTTTTACCAACGGTTTCTACTTTGTGTGAATAGAAAATTCACACCCCTGGTGGGCAGGGGGTGGGAAGCAACTGAGGAAACACACTTCCTTGCATTGCAAACTGAAGCAGAATCATCTAGATGACTCTTCCCAGGAGACGATACCTTCCTAGGAGAAACTGATGAGGTGGGCTGTTCGAAGGGCACGTGATGCTGGCATCCCTTTGCCAGCAGTCAGTTAGTCACCAACCTGGACAGAGCTGCCTGCCTGGAGGTGAACCTCCCGGAAGGGATGCTGAGGAGAAGAGAGGTGGGACCGAAGACAGCACCCCTGCTGTTCTCACGGTAGTCACGATTTAAATGAGAAAACATGGCTTTCCTTCCAGAAAAGGATATTGAATCACAATTCAAAATGTGTCCATGCATCTAAGGGCCAAAGACACCCAGGAAGACTGGATTCTCCCAAGACAGATGCAGGAAAGCTGTGTGGGACAGCCAAGTCTGGAGATGGGTTAGAAGAAAGGCTGTGCCTGAGTGTTGGGGAACACACAGATCAGCCATTAACACGGGGATGATCAGGGGTTATGATGGCACAGGGAGCCAGAGTAAGTTAGACAGCAGAGGAATAGCGGGGTTAGCACCACACTGACTGCATTCTGTGCAGGAAGCTGAATAGGGGAAAGGGAGCAGGAGAATGGGATGAGATAGTACCCATCGCCACCACCACCACCATCATCACCAACCATCATCACCATCATCACCACCACCACCACCATCATCACCATGATCATCACCACCTTCGTCATCACCACCATCACCACCATCACCACCATCATCATCATGTAGCAGTGCCTATGCCTATTACATGCCAGACATTGTGCTGAGATCTTTACAGGTATTAACGTCTCATTTAATCCTTGTCATAAGCCATGAGAAAAGCACTCTTACTAACTCCATTTTAAAGATGTGGAAACTGAGGCTATGAGAGCTGCCCCAGTCACATGGTTAGAAAGTGACAGACCTGGGGTTCCAACCCAGTTCCTCTTAACCCCTATGATGAACTCCACTGTTGGAATAAGGTCACTGGGGCCCAGGCAAAGAACAGGGCAGGCGGAAATGGATAGGAAACGACCGTAGGAAGTGGGGGAGGTGCTCCTCCATGGCGCGCTGGCACTCTCACATGTATCCGAACAGGCCACACAGGCAAAGGCTAATCTGGGTCTCGACAGAACACCTTGAGATGCCCTTGGGACACCAGTGGGTGGGAGGCCTCCAAGAAGTGGCTATGAGGCCACCTCCCACTTTCCCCTATGCCCCGGGAGCAGAGGAGAAACTTCCGGGAAGCTGTCAGGAGACAGTTTCTCCTCCGCTCCCTGGGGTCTGACAGGACAGGTGGAGCCTTGTGCCCCGGCCTCCGCAGACTAGGTCTGCAGAATATAAACCTACTTAGCAGCAACAGGGTACCCACAGCAGCAGTATAGCCATCAGCCCCTGCTTTGGTGCCGCCATTTCTGGTGTGTGGGCTAGGACCAGGGAGCTGGCACCCCTGGCCATCTATGTCAGTAATGAGCTGAATGTGACAGCAGCTCGCTGTGTCTGTGCCCGCCCAGTCGGTCGGGCCCTGGCCTTGGCTTGTCTTGTATGCGTGGTGAAGCAAACAAGCTGCAGGATGCGCTCGGTGTGGGATTGGAAGCAGAGCGAAAGGGAGGGCAATGCAGGTGCTGCGGTGCTGCCGGGGGCTCGGTGGAGGTGGGGAGCAGCGCTGGATTCCAAGGCTGCCCCAGGGACCCGCCTGGGGACCTGCGCAGGAGTGCGTGGCTGGGAATTCTGGAGGCTCTGCGCCATCTGCAAACACAGCCAGCCCGTCCCGCTCTGTGCAGGAGCCTGTCCCAGCTCGGGATGGAGCAAAAGGCTTCAGGCAGACTGCCGTGGCCCACGCACAGGCACCCAAGCAGCAGTGGGGCTCTGAAACGGATAGATCGGTGGCTTTCTTTGAAAAATTACTTTATATTTTGAAAACAATTATACATGAATTATTCATTGCAAATTCCTCCTGCTCAGTCCTTTCATAAAAACATATGTAATAAATAGTAAGAAAATGTCTGTAGGCAAATGTTTCACAGCCTGGAGGGAGCGCTGAGAAGCACGGGGGAGGCTGGGCATGCCTTAGGCAGCCTGTCCGGAGGTTGCAGGCGTGCCATCCCCTGTGGGCACAGAGCACCACCAAGGATACAATGCCCGGGAGCGCAGTCCCCAGACAGGCACTAAGCATGTCACATACATCAGTGTGCCTCCTGCCCCCACCTCGCACCACTCATTCCTAGGATGAAAAGGGCAGCGAATCAGCTACACTTATCACAACCTTGGAGGCAATTTACAATACAATGTAAGGCGAAACTGCAACATTTATAAAACAGATTTTCAAGTGTTTAACCATTCAAGTTTTGTCCTTTGGTCTTTTCTAGGAGGCATTTCCCTAAGAAAGTTCCTCAAAGAATAACAAACTGTGACCTGGCATATTCTGATTCACCAAATTTTCACTTCCACCATTCCCGGGACATCACTTAGATCATAGACTGATTCTTCCACATTAGGCCACACCATTTCACGGAGTTGTTGCTGGGCTCTCTCGGTGAAGGCAGGTGCTCCCCGGTAGGTGCCCAGTAACTGGAAGTTGAGTGAGTGATTCAGTCTTTCCAAGTCCAGTTCCTGCAAAGCATCTCGTGCTTTGGGGATATATCCACCAGTCTCTATGTGAGTAATACTTGTTTGCTATGCCTCTGACATCATTTTTGTGGTGGTTTATCTAGGGAGTATAACACACACCCTTAACTTTTAACAGTCTATTTAGTAATATTTAACCACGTCACTTGAAATGTAGGAACCTTGCAACCATGTAGATTCGTACCCTGCCCCTTTCCTTTAAGCTGTAATTGTAGGTTTTTTGACATCTACATATATTCTAAACCCCACAAGACAATGTTAAAATGGTCACTTTAAGCACTCACATGCACTTTTTAAAATTAATTAATTAACTAATTAATTTTTGGCTGCGTTGGGTCTTTGTTGCTGCACCCGGGCTCCCTTTAGTTGTGGTGAGTGGGGACTACTCTTCGTTGCAGTGCACGGGCTTCTCATTGCAATGGCTTCTCTTGTTGCGGAGTACGGGCTCTAGGCGCACGGGTTTCAGCAGTTGTGGCTCGCGGGCTCAGTAGTTGTGACTCGCAGGTTCTAGAGCGCAGGCTCAGTAGTTGTGGCACACGGGCTTAGTTGCTCCACGGCATGTGGGATCTTCCCGGACCAGGGCTCGAACCCGTGTCCCCTGCATTGGCAGGTGGACTCAACCACTGCACCACGAGGGAAGCCCTTAAATGCATTTTAATTAAGAAGAAAATAACCTTTTACATTTAATTGGATATTTACCATTTCCAATGTTCTTTATTCCTTCAGGATCATCTGAGTCTCCATCTAGTATCAAATTCCTTCCCTTCCTTTAGCATATCTTATAGTGAAGATCTGTTTGCAAGGACTTATCTATGTTTCTTTTTAATCTGAAAACATCTTTATTTCACCTTTATTCTTAAAGGAGACTTTTGCTGGATGTGAGGGGTTTTTGTCTGTTTTTGTTTCTGCTTTCCTTTCAGGATGGTAAAGTTTCTGTCCCACTGTCCTCTGGCCTCCATCGTCTCTGATAAGGTGATGGTAATTCAAATAATTGTTCCCCTTTTAATGTGTCATTATTCACACGCTGCTTTAAGATTTCTCTCTTTGATTTTGGTTTTCAGTTTATCTATGACTTTTCTTTGTATTTATCCAACTGTGGGTTTTCTGCATTTCTCAAATTTATACATGTAAAGGTTTCACCAAAAATTGGGAAATTTCAGCCATTATTTCTTCACATATGTCTTCTTCCCTGGTCTTTCTTTCCTTCTGTGACTCCAATTATACCTATGCTAGACCTTTGATGTTGTTCCACATGTCCCTGAGGCAACTGTTCTATTGTTTTTTTTACCTTTTCCTTTCTCTTCTTCAGTTTGTGTAACTTCTGTTGATCTATCTGCAAGCTCACTGACTCTTCCTTTTGTCATCTCCATTCTGTGGTTCAGCCCTTCTGGTGAATTTTTATTTAGGATATTCTTTTTTTCTTCAGTTCTAGAATTTCCATTTGGTTTTTTTCAAAAATTCT